TGAATTAGTTTATAAAAGGTAAAAGAGACAGCTAAGGATGAAGCAGGGTTTATAAACCATACTGGTGACTGTGGCAGTGAGTTTACATGGTCTATTTCCCTTGTGATGGAAGATTATGGAAAAGTGCTGCCTTTATATTTTGAACTATCAAATATCTCTCCTTCTCTCTGTACCTAATGTTGCCATGGGCATAAAGCCATCAAAATGATTCTCAAGCATACATGTGTACTACTCGATTAAGTGGCCCCAAATCATTTAGTTCAATATTTAACAATCCAACATTGTTGTTTCAAATGTTCTATAACAGATCTTCTCTGTAACAGGCTTTATAATTCTACAGATTATCAATGATCCTCATAAATATACATCTTACTAGTAAAAATGAGCCAAATATTTGTTTATACCATAAAATGATATTTCAAAGATTGTTTTCCTCTACCTGTAGGCATTAGAAACAAATAATAAAGGGGCCATGACTTTTACTACCACCAAGTATAGTCTTTGCAAGCCATTGCAACCAAAACAGAAACTGGAAGTAGATGAGAGGATTTGCATTTATTTGAGAACAGAAAGAAGGTCCTGTAGGTGGATATTAAAAAGTGAAAAATAATAGCATGTGCTGAGACAGAAGAAGCAGGCATAAACAACGTCATAAGCCAGAACAAGAGTTTTAACTTTCTTCTATGAAGAATAATAAGACAGCAGTGGGGCAACTGGTTAGAACTGATATGTTTAAAGGCCTATTGATGACTGGGTAGGCAATGAGTTTAAACACAGCAGAGGGTAATGCAAAAAAACAATAAATAAATAAACAGATAATGCAAAATATATTCACATTTTTTTAAGAGAATTCTTCAGGTTATTTAAAATCTTTCACTGCCTCATTAGGCCTCTCTGTGATTCTGTTCAAATACCTTCCTGGTAGTTCTATGATAAAATTAAATATTAGGGAGCATGGCATACCAAATACAGAGGCAGAAAACAAGGAATGGGAAATATCCAGTCTGTAAACTCTATGTTGTTTATTAACTGCAATACATACTACTATGTGAGGTAGAAATGTTAATGTAGACTATTTGTGTAGGGAAATAAAATCTGATTTCCTCAGTTCCTTTGAGATACTATGATAAAATATCTGAGACTGGATGAATTATAAATAAAATATGGCAAATGTGCTAGCTACTGCCATGTTAACATGACACAAGCTTATGTCATTTGGGAAGAAGGAACGTTAATGAAGAAAATGCCCTCACTGTTTGACATGTTGACAAGACTGTCATGCATTTTCTTGATTACTGATTTTTGTGAGAGTGTCCAGCTCATTGTGGGTTGTGCTACTCCTGGGTAGACAGTTCCAGCAGTGTAAGGAAGCAGACAGAGAAACCATTAACAACAAGCTAGTAAGCAGCATTTACTCATGGCTTTTGCATCAGTTTCTGACTCTAAGTTTCTGCTTTGAGTTCCTGCCCTGACTTCCTTCCATGATGGACTGTAATGTAGAAGTATAAATGAATTAAACCCTTTCCCAAGTTGCTTTTTTTTGTTTGTTTGTTTGTTTTTTGTTTTGCTTTTTGTTTTTTATCACAGCACTAGAAACCCAAGTAGTAGAAGGCAGAAAGACAAAAGTAAGAGAATTTCCTCCATTTAGCTCTTCAGTCCATGTATGATAGATAGCACAGGCCTGTGAGAAAGTTTTACCTCCCAACACAGTTACACTAGTTATTGATTCATTCATTGATTCTAACACATAAACCTGGGGAACACATTTGATCACAACACTGATTATATCCAGATACATTGGGATTGTGAAGGAAATAGAAAATTCAAGACCTAACTAGATCAAGAATGCTTGTTCTAAACTGAGAAGAGAGGAATCAAAAAGTAATGGAGATGAATAACCCATATTACATGTGGCTTTCTAACTTATTGTAAGGATTCTGCTTTTATTTTTTTATTTTTATTTTACATACCGATCACAGTTCCCTTTCCCTCCCTTCCTCCCTCTTTCCCTCTTTCCCACCCTCTTATGTCCCCCCTGACCATCCTCCCCTCACATCTCCCCCGCACTCCACATGCAGGGTGATGCCCTCCAGGAGGGTTCATCTAAATCTGTCAAGTCATTTGGAGTAGAGACTAGGCCTTCTCTCCTGTCTCTAGGCTAACAGATTATCCCTCCATGGGGGATGTGCTTCCAAAGTCCTTTTGTGCACCAGGAATACATCCTGGTTCCACTGTCCAAGGTCCCTTAGACTGTTCAGGCCTTCTGGCTGAGACCCATGTTCAGGGGGCCTGAGTCAGTCCTATGCTGGATTCCTAACTATCAGTCTGGGAGCCTGTTAGCTCCTCCTTGTTCAGGTTAGCTTGTTCAGGTTTCTGCAGCCTGGTCTTGTCCTCCCTCTCTGCATCTGGATTCCAGTTTGGCTCAGTGTTTAGTTGTGGTTGTTTGTTTCTGTTTCCATCAGCTGCTAGATGAGGGCTCCATGATGGTGGATAAGTTAGTCATTGATCTTATTATCAGGGAAGGGCATTTATGGTAGCCTTTCCACTGTTGCTCAAATTGTTAGTTGCAGTCAGTCTTGTAGGTCTCTGGACATATCTCTAGGTTCATTTTTCTCTTTAAACCTATAATGGTTTCCTCTTTTATGGTCTCTCTCTCTCTCTCTCTCTCTCTCTCTCTCTCTCTCTCTCTCTCTCTTCTCTTGTCTATTCCTCCCCTGACTCAATCTTCCTAGTCCCATGTGTTTTCCTCTCCTCCCCTTCTCTTTCTCCTAACTCCCTCTCCACTCACTGTCCCCCCCCACCACCACCCATATGCTCAGGAGATCTTGTCCCTTTCCTATCTGTGAAGGACCTTATATGAATTTCTTAGAATCCTCCTTTTATCCTAGTTTCTCTGGCGGTGTGAATTATAGGCTGGTGATCCTTTGCTCTAGGTCTAAAATCCATATATGAGTGAGTATATACCATGTTCCTCTTTTTGTGCCTGGGCTACCTCATTCAGGATGGTCTCTTTAAGTTCCATCCACTTGCCTGTGAATTTCAAGATCCCATTGGTTTGTTTGTTTGTTTTCCGCAGAATAGTATTCTGTTATGTAAATGTGCCACATCTTCTTTATCCATTCTTCAGTTGAGGGGCATCTAGGTTGCTTCCAGGTTCTTGCTATGACAAATAATGCTGCTATGAACATAGTTGAGCACATGTCTTTCTTGCATGGATGTGGATCATTTGGGTATATGCCTAAGAGGGGGATTTCCAGATCCTGTGGTAGTCTGATTCCCAGTTTCCTGATCCATGCCAGACCACCCTGAATCCCTGCCTGCCTGATCTCTGACCCCCATCGCTGGTCCTCTGCTGGAGTTCTGGGCCTTTGCCAGAGATCCGTTTATCCCGGTGGGACCATCCTTAGTCCCTGCCTGCGGGATCTTTGAACTCCATTGCTGGGCCTCTGCTAGAGGTGAGTCTGGGACCAGTTCTGGTTGAATCCCTCCCATACCCTTCCCTGGGAACTCCCTGGATTGGCCTCGATCTAGTCCCCCACCACCACCACCACCCCCGCCGCCGCCATGATCGATAAAAATGATTTTGCTTTTATTGAGGAACATTTTTACATGGTTTGAGAACAGTAACATGGCCAGTGTAACTTAAGTGTTAAAAGTGGCTAATGTTCTGAAAATAGATTGTAAGGGGCAAAAGCTAAGAGAGGACTCTGACAACTGTCATAATAATCCAGCAATGACAGCTCTTGGTTAAGACCGGGTGGTAGCAGTCAGCATGGTGGAGGCTAGCTGCATTCCTGCTATATTTTAAAAGTTTGGCTGGCTAGTGTGATAAAAGAAAAGGTGTCAAGAGTCACTTGCAGTGTTTTGACCCCAGTAGCTTGGTGTTAGGAAACATCAGAACCTCAGAAATGGAATTTTCTTGTGACCTCACTGGAACTGAAAGTAAGTAATTGAATATGAGTTTGGAGATTAGGAGAAAGGTCACGCTTGCAGATACAAATGTAGCAGCCATTAACATATCATCAGCATCATTTCAAACTGTGTTGCTAGGTTAAATAGTCAGTGATGGTATCCACTAGGAAAAAGTCTAATGTTGGAATCCTGAGGTACTTGGTTATTGGAGGGAGGGAGGAAGGGAGAGGAGGAGGGAGAAATATGGCGGGGGGGGAGGGGGGGGGATATAGAAATCTAGGCAGGAACACCAAAAGAAACAAGAAAAGGACACGGTGTGGGGCCAACCCTGCCTCTTCCTCTGACCCCATCTCAGCTTTCAGATCTTAGAAGCTCTATTGATACTGTATTCCCCAGATGTGACTGTAAGTCTTTCCGAAGCGCCCCCATGGCACACCGCTGTCAGTACTCCGAGTCTTTGTCATACTGAATCACAGGGGTCGGTACTGACTCATTTCTTCCTGTAAATCATAAGCCTCTTTAGAGAAGAAATAAAGAGTATTCCCAGAAATCACCTCCATGCTTATCACATGTTAACTTTACAACACCAGAAGTTGAATTGAATTATAAATTGGCGTTTATTATTGCAGACTCAATAGTACAGCAATAAAATGAGTGGGCTACAATTATGTAAGAACAGTACCACACAAACATTTAATTAAGTTTATTTTTCTTGATATTTTTTCCATAGGGCAATTTCTAGCATTACCTTGTTGGTATATTTGCAGTTTTGATTTATTTAAGGGCAAGACTGAAAGTAGGATTTTTGCATATGTTAAACATGTGCACTAAATATGACTTTTATATGCTACCTTACTTAAATATTTGACTCTTTTCATGAAACTAGGAAGAAAAACACAACTAATATATAAGAAAAACCCCGCAAAATTTAGAAATGATACATAAATATCTAAAGTAACTACAACTGTAGGAGTCAGTTTATATATATATATATATATACATATATATATATATATATATATATCTCCTTGGTAATATGCAGTGCATATACAATATGAAAAGTCGAAATAAAGCAGGATGTCACTTACTGGAAAGTATAGGAGCAGAGACCCAAAGAGTATTGTTTCCAACAGGATGAGGCCGGATGCTCGGATGCTCTAAAAGACAAATGGAGAATGTCATTGTTAACTTAATTTCCAGGCAGAGAGGATTTATTCTACTGTTCAAATGCCTAAGCCCTCAGAACAGCATTCTTCTGGGGAAAATTAAGTAAGTAAATAAATACAATTTAGCTAGTTTTCAGGTGGATAGTCATGAGGGAAGCCTGGCTGAAGTGATGACAGGTCTAATGATGTCATCAGTGACATATTCTGAGAGGCCAAGATCACTACCTTGAAGATTCCTACAATCTGAGAAACCAACAAAGATCTTTTTTTCTGTTTCTGGGATGCAAGCCACCAGTGCCCTAAAGCATTCCAAAGACACCTGCTGCATCATTGCAGAGGGTTAAAACAAAGCCTTGGTGTATGAACTGTATAAGGGCCTGGAGTATCAATCTTGTAATGTAGTCCCCATAACAAACTTCATAGTGTAAACAATAAGAATCACATTAAATATAAAAGCTTCCTTGCCTTAAGTACTATTTATCCTACAGAGTTGTTTTCCAGTTGACTTCCTAATATGTTGTCTTTAAGCATGAATGTATCTAACAATCTTATGATATTTTTTATAATATGCAAAATAGCAATTCTTGTAACAAAACAGGGTTGAGGCAAGAAATAAAAAAACAATCTTAGCTTATAACAATAAGTTTGGTTTCAATGAGCTGAAGTTTCAGGATAGGGCATGTCTATTAATTACTAAATCAAGCAAGGAATTTGTCACTCTGAATTCCTTACATTTTCATTAAATGTGATACAAAAATGTGCATACAGATTACCAGCATATAGATGTCTTTCTTTATAGGAAAGTTGTGTGAGGTAAGAAAATTAATTCTGCAACAACCAAAGGATGCTAAGAATCCAAACTATGACAGTGTTTCATATATTTTTAACGTGATATGATAACTGGATAGTCAGAAAAAGAAGTTTTTAATTCCTCTTTCAAGACCTTACAGGGTATTAAAAACACAGAACTGCTTTATATAATCCTTCAAAGGAGCTCACAGCTACGAGTTTGAAAATAGTGTGCAGTGTCAATCACTTGAGTGACTCCTTTTTCCCCGTTTCTTTTTCTATGGTGCCAAGGACAGAGCCCAAGGCCTACACATGCCAGACAAGTAATTGTACCTCCACAACAGATTCTGCCTCTGTGTGATTTTCGCAATTGATCATTGTTTTACCTAATAGATGTTTCGGTGTGGTGAAAAGACAATTCCTATCAGCAGTTTTTGATTTGAGGCTGTTAGAAATCCAAAATGACAAATTACATTTGGCAAAGCATAATCTACTTATGGGCATTTTTATAGTTTATGTTCTAATTTTTAATATGACACTAAGACTCAGACTCCAAACAATTATGCAAAATTTCTTGTTAAAATAATCTATGCAATGCTGACCGACAACCGACAAAGGAACAGAGAAAGGGTCTGGAGAGTATTGCAAGAAACTTTGCAGTTAACTCTGTTGTGAATTCTGAAATAGCCACTTATGCAGGCAATGAAATAAGCTGCTTAAATGGCCTTACTCAACAACATGTTGTGGTACTTTGAATGTAATTGTCACCTATAAACTCATAGGGAGTGGCACTATTAGGAGGTATGGCTTTTTTTTTTTTTTTTTTTTTTTTTTTTTAGTAGGTATGACCTGGTTGGAGGAACTGTGTCCCTGTAGATGGGCCCAGTGTCATTGTGTTATTTTGGGTTCCTTTCTGATCAAGATGTGGCCAGCACCATGTCTACCTGCATGCCACCATGTTCCCAACAATGATGATAATGGACTGAACCTATGAACTATAAGCTGCCACCTCAATTAAATGTTTTCTTTATAAAATTTGCACTGGTAATAGTATCTCTTCACAACAACAGAAACCCAAAGATACACTTTATTAAACCCAGTAAGGTATTAAATATGATATAGTTAAAATGGCTAGCACTGAACTTGGCACATAATTGGGTATCTAGGTTCTAAGCTATAATTCATCAACCATCTTATAAATTTGAAAATTCTAGGTATATATTGATAGCAACAAAAAGTGTTTTATGTTTGGGACTGAAAATGACTACAGAAGATGTTGAAGAGATGGCTAGGTTAGTTAAGAGCACATACTGTTTTTACATTAGACCTGAGTTTGGTCCCAGTGACCATGTCAAGCAGCTCACAACCATCTGTAATTCTAGCTCCAGGGGACTTGTCACCCTCTTCTAGACTCTAGCGGCATCTGCACTCATTTGCATAGACATACACATAATTTTTAAAACAATACATAAGCTATAATAAAAAGTAACAATCCAAAATAAAGAGCCAGAGTCCTTTGGTTTGTGATAATGCTGTATATGGTAGCATCTTTCCTTCTGCAATGTCTTGACTGTTTTAGGAATAGTAGACTATAAATCTGTGTTTCAGCCATTACTACAACACAACAATAGCAGTCATATGTGTTTATGTGTATTCTCACAACTACCTTTATACTAGAGATGTATGTACCTCTTGCTTAGCCTCCATCCTGGCTAAACAGGGGAGCCCAGAATTTCAGCTTCTAAACTGGAACTCTGACAAGTGGTTCCATCTTCAAATGTGAAGTATATTCTAAATGTGCACTTTTTCCTTCTGAAATGTCCTGCAGTGGATCTGACTCCAAAGTCTAACAGAATGAGTCAAACACAATAAGTGGTTCTTCATGACAGAAAAGAGTCACATGTGACCTAAAATATTTCATTACCATCCCACTGCTCTGGTAGTACTAGAAGTTTAACTTGGAAAAAAGCTTTGCTGTATAATAGGTACCAAAGACTCACTCACATACAATTACTATGAGTGATCCACTGATTAAGTGTGAAAGATGTGACGAGAAGAGATGCTCAGTGATGGGAGAGGTGGAACTAAGAAATGAAGATAGATAAAGAAGATAATGGGAAAATTCACAGAGGGTGAGATAAAAATCCATCCCGTAAACAGTGCTTGAGATAGAAATAATAAAATAGAATTAATTTTAACTAGAGTTGTGAAATGAGAAATTCAGAGGAGTACCTTCTTGAAATATAGCCAACAATATATAGTATGATGCTGTTTATATAAAATACCTAGCCAGCATGTGTGTGTGTCTATATAAACAAAGAGCCAAATTCATAGGTGTATATAACCAGTTGCTCACAGCTGTGCATAGCCCAGGATAGCTGTGAATGCAGACCATCACACTGTAGACAACAATGCCACATCAAAATGTCAGAAGCCTGGGGTACCCTTAGTCCACAGGATTCATTCTAACCTGACAGCAATCCTGGGCAGAAGATAACTAACTTAGCAATATCTTTTGCACTGAAGGAAATATAATCAGATATTGCTGAATTATAAGCTTTTTAGTAATTAACTCAAGAAAATCTAAAACCTATTAACATAGCTGTTATAACATTCTATGATTTTGAGTTATAATATTCAAGAGTCTGAACTAAATCTTTCTTCTAGCAAATAAGTATGATTACAAAACTTTGAATAGGGAGGGGATATTCATCATCTTCCATTCTTACTGTGTATTCCTCCCCCCGTTCCCAAACCCTCAAAGATACAACAAATTATATGAGCAAATCAAAGCTGTAGATCAAATAAAAGGCTAATAACATTCAACTAATTTTATCAAATTATGTCAAAGCCAGCATCTAACTCCCATCACCCTAGTCAGAAAAGTGTAGAAGTTCATGGCTCAATGCACAATTGCAGCCTTTAGAAGCAGATTTGCCCCCGTGCAACAGCCTCAAGGAAGCCTAACCCATTAGAGTAATAAGCACAGGAATGCTGAAGGCTAAGTTTTTGAAAGCAATGAAAATAGCTTGTTATTATTTGCCTGACTCTACAGCACTATCTCTACTTTATTTTTATATTTTAAACAGTTTCAGCCTCTAGGGAAATAACACATCTTGCTAATACAATGCAGCTATTTTTTGATCATTGCCAATGTCTTCAACCTTGCAGTATTTAAACTTTCCTTATATTATAAAAGAACTCTCTAAAAAGGAAGCATTTTAAACAGATAAATTTCAGAATCTATGCACAAACTCTGAGATAGTAATAGGGTTTTGCTTTCAAAAGAATGAATCACTATAGGATTCTATGAGAAACCAAGAGTCCACAAATATCTCATTCACAGAAGGAATTAGTTGCCCTCTGATAAGAGACTCATTGGGTTGACCTTCCACATATCTCTTTGTTTCCACAGAGAAATCCACAGAGGGGAGACTTCCTTCCAATGACCCTTGACAAACAGTTGACATAATGATACAACATGGGTTGGAAACTAAGTATGAAAAGTAGTATAAAGGCATACTAAATACTGGTAATTTGTAAGAAGTTATTGTTTAATAATGGATTAGAATTAATGGATGAGAATAGAGTACCCTGTCTGAAAGTTTTCAGGAAGTTCAATTATGGTAAGAATATCTGCAATGAAATACTGAAAATTTAATCACTGTAGAGATATTTGTAAAGGAACAGTTGTTCCAAACAGAGTCTGTTAAAACTCAAGTTTCCCTTTTCAGAAAAAAAAATCAGCAATAAAAAAGGTTAAAAAGGGAAAAATAATGAGGGCCAGGAAAAATATTCCCAGAGTAAAACATGAATAGCTCAGAGAAGTTTAATGATCTCTAGTTAGTTTGCAATGACAATATTGGTTGTTTTTAAGCCACATGACACCGGGCCAGATGCTTAACTTCTGAATTTTGGTCTGGTTTTCATATGGCATGAACTTCTGGTTAAACTTAAATGAACTTATGAAAAGATTAGTTTATCTGAAATAAAGTACACAGTGATATATACATAGCTTAATACATTTTAAAACAGCACAATTCACTAAATAAAGAGTAAAAATAAATTATTTTTACACTCATGTGAAATTAGAAATAATGGGTCCTGCATTAGATTGCTGAGCAGGAACATTTTATAGGTATTATTATTTTTGGAGAATAAAGCAATGAGATATTTGACAATTCACTTTGCTTTGTTTCAAG